GCATGTACAGTTATCTTTACTGAAGTGAATTAGGTTTAAATCGCCGTCATGCATGAATGAATGATATTTTTGCAATTTTACACATAATAATCCACGATGATCACATTACACAAAACTGAAATTGCACGTCAAAATAACAGTCAATATTTTTTGAGACCCCCCAAAATTTCACAAATCATGTTTTCAGGGGAGCCCATGTCTTATTAAGGGGAGCCGAGCTCCCCCTAGCTCCCCCGTAGTTCGCACCCTGCTTTAGGCTGTCAGGCCTGACATACTGATTTGAAGAGCTCCGCATGACGCTTTCCGCTGGATCTTCAGAACTGCCTCTGAAAGCGGCTACATGATGTCTACAAGAAACACCTCCAGTATAAAGTTTAAAGTCGTTAAATAGCAGACACTGAAATGGGCTGCTTTAAGCTGACAGCACTTTCATTATTCCGTATTACTGGAGCACAAACAGTTCCCACAATCAGTGCTCAAAATTAAGTTGGCACTGCCATTTTTTTATTTATCGCCTAATGTGTATTAAAACATCCAGTGCTACCTTTCTGTAATTGCAGAAACAAAAATACCACATCGTAATTTCTGTGAATTGTGCTTTCTGGCAGCTGGCATGTGAAGGATAGCTCTGCCTGCTGTGTGTAAGTCCAGGAGCTGCTCTCAGTCACCTCAGTGGAAATAATGTGAACAAGCAGCACAGTCCCGGTGAAGTAAAACAGAGCTGGCATAATGCTCATATTCCAACCTATGAGGTGATTCATCAGCAGAAATAGACAGCCTCTAAACAATAAACACTTCAATTTTCCCACCAGACGAATAAAACAAAGGGCGACAGGAAGACACACTATTGTACAAAATTCATTCAGTTGTCATAAGGTGGTAAATCACACTACACTAAAAAAAAGAATGTGGTAAGCTCTACATTGCACAAGTTAGTTCAAACGAGTACAAATGCAGAATTTGTTTAAAATTTCCATGTAGAAAGCTCTAACAAATGTATAAGTATTTCTATTTAAAAAATTGTTTGCTACATTTTACAATGAGTCGAGTATTGATCAAGGCTATTATCATTAACTAAAACCATAAAAATGTTTTTCATTAACTGAAATAATAATAAAAATACAAAATATATAATAAAATGTTAACAGAAAATTATTTAAAAAAATTAAATTATAAAATTTAAATATTAAAATATAAAATACACTAAATTAACGAAAATCTATATGGACATAAAAAACTAATAAAAATTACAAAAACACAGCAGAATTACTAAAACTTAAAAAGATATGAAATCATCTAATTCAAAATATTAACAAAAACTAGAATAGCCCATCAATGACACTAATATAACATCCTGAAAAATCTTGTAATGTAATATTTATATGGATTTGAATAAACTTCAAATGCACAAAATGAAGTAAAATCTGTATCTGTACCCTAAGCAAGCCGCACAAGGTAGCATGACCAAATTAGATCTCATCAACAAAGTTGCCTACAAGACAAAGAAAGCGGAAGATATTATTTTGGGCCAAGCTAACAATATTCATGAAACAACACAAAATATATTAGGAATACAACAGGTATGATATGAGATTAATGACCCATGCCATTAAAATCTAAGAACATCGAATAACATCTCATGATATTTGTAAAAACGCTGAACTGACCAAACCAGAATTTTCAGTTATCACAGCAATAATTTGATTCACTCACAGTGAATTTGTCTTCCACACTCTTCCTCCCCGATGGCTCAGAGCAATAATAAACTAAGCCGTTTGCTTACACTAGCTGGATAACTTTAGCTGAAATAAGCCATCTCTGAACATGAACACCAAGTTAACAAAAGAAACTATTCCACCATTAAATTGCAAGCCTACCTCTCAATCAAATTTTAACAGTATCAAATCAGTATAAAATGATAGCCTATTTGAACAATTATTCAGTGGTGACTAGAAAGCAAATCATCCTGCTGCCTTCAACATGTCTGGGTTAAAATCTTCAGTGCCAAAAGTAGGTAAATGCCCATTCCTTGCATTTCCTATAAAGTAAAGATTTTGCACACAGCCATCAAGCAAATAATCATAATGTATTTATAATCTTAAATTGATTCTGGGTAAACAGTTCTGCCTGATTCCCTTTTCTCTCTACAAGTGTGTTAATTGGTATAAAGTTCAGTCAAATACAGAATAACATCTGCAGTCATTCCTAAGTGACTGACATTCTTGTGGGGGAAAGACATAATATTTCAAAAATATATAAAAATGCTGAGTATTTAGCCAAAGCTGCTAAATGTAGACAGTCTATGGTTATAAAAATTAATTAGTACATCTAAATATTTAAATGCCTTTGCCAAAGAGGTTCCTGACAAAGACCCCCAAAGCTAACTAGGTTGGAGAATGAAAAGCCCTTTTTGCTGCTGTGCAGTCATCTGTGTCGGACAGTTAAAGGGTTGAGGATGTTCTTTCCATGCCATGTGTGGGGAAAAATCAATTTGGTTTATATTTAAAGGCTACAGCCATTCTGCACTTTGCTTCACAAAAGACTCTTTGCATCTGATTTCACATGCTTAAGTGGAATGAAGCCTCCCATGCCATAGGAATCTTCATATCTTAGACAATGGAGTATGTGGAATGTCAATACAGAAAGATAGATACTTTATTGATCCAAAGGGGAATTTAGTAAATCAAACAATTGCCCTTCCTAATATGTGACAGGCGATCAGCCGAAATTGTAAGAAGTACTTCACTGTGCTCTTTGAATGAAAACACGGCATCTGCCACATCAAAGTCAAAATGATCTGCAAAACAGGAAGTTAACCTCCAAAACCTCTCAAATTCTTCTGTGAAGACTGTAAAATCCTTTAATAAACGGAGTAAACATTAGCCTAATAAATGAAAACATTAGAAACCAAGCATCACATAAAACCATAATTTATCATTAACCTTAATCGATCCGCCATCTGTGTCTCTATTACTTTACAATATTGGTCATAACAAACCAAACGTAAACAGATTTGTTCAAGAAAAAAACTTGTTTAATACACAAGATGCTTACTATCTGGACAAGCTTGGATGCAGCTTTTCTCTTTTTTTCTTATTTTCTGTGTTTTTATGCCAAATGATCTTATAAAAAGGTCATGTAGTGTAATATGATTATGACGTCTAGTGCAAGGACTAAACAAAACTGTGAGGCAAATTTATAGATTGAGACAGATGAGGGCTTTTATGTGGAAAGATGGGAATGTTTGTCTGCTAAATGCCATGGCTAGGATGGGTGGGGTGTTTGGTGGTGAAGATAAGACTAAAATCATTGGCTTTAAACTTTTTCAAAATCTAATTCTAGCAGACACTTGTTATTTGCAACTTTGGATGCATATTAGGGCTGCAACAAATGATTATTTTGATAATCGATTAATCTAATGATTGTTAGAACGATTAATCGACTAATCATCTATTATTTCGCTGATTAATCAGTAGACATTTATTGATTATTCAGCTTTTGCAATTAGTTAAATATTGAGTTATACATATTCTAATATTCTAAATTAAGGTAATCACTTCAGCTTTTGAAAGTCATATGTAATTACAATTATACAATTTATTTATACAAATAAATATATTTGGCACACAAAATGAGATGGCAGAGAAACTCTCTTATTCACCATTTAATTAGCTATATGAAAAAGTAGCTGAATGACACATCCTTCTACCTAAAATATCTTTTTGTAAGTCATATGGATAAGAAACAAAATAAAGGTTAAATGATAAGACGTTTTATTTTTGGATAAACTATTTTATTCACAACATAATCTCTCATAAAATACCTTATAGGGTTATGATAATTAAAACAGTCCTGAGCTAGATCAAGCTTTGATCTCTGCAAACCAAAATATAACTTTAATTAAATGTTTTTTTCCCCACTAATAAAAAGATTTTATCATTTGCTAGCTCCACACTGGAGAGCTGCTTTATAACAGAAAATCAAGCTGTAATTCTAACTGAAACCGTCACTGACTCTGGTTTTTCCCGTTTCATAATACTGTAAAGCTGCTTGATTTAAGGCCATCTATTGCATAAAGTACTATATAAATAAACGTGACTTGACTGGACTTTACTGGAGTACTGAACTGCAGAGCTCGTGCAAACATCCACATCGCTGTAATCAGATGCGTTTTGACTGCTGCTTTCTCACCGCTGTCAGTTTTTGATGCGTTTATTTTGTTATTGAGAGGAAAGCGCGCCGTATACTGTATATTTACATATTCATCCAAACGCCGCTCAGCAGCTTCAGATTCGGCTTTTTGCTCTGAAGCGTTGCGTCTTCTTCTTTTGAATTGCATCAGGAGAGCTGAATTACAGTCTTGCGCTACAGCACCACACTGGTCAACACAGGTGAAACAAAAAATGTGCCTTCTCTACTGTAAAATAATTCCACAGACAGCCCTCACACTCCTAACCTTATACCTACAAATGTACCACTGAATGGGAACAACGTTTCCTTCTGGCCCGGGGTTACTGATGATCCGGTAATTTGACTAAGCACAGAGGCATTACCTCAATCAGAGCTGTTAATGTTTCACTTCATGAAGCACAGCATGCATCTTCCTCAGTGATTCAGTCCAAGGCCTCACAAATTCGCTTTTCTACAGCAAAAGGACACAATGTCTAAAGAGGCTTTCGGAAGCATTTCATTCATCTTAAGTGTCCTGATTGTATTGGCTCAAGTGACTCAATTAATTATAATGAAATTAATACAATAAAACAGTTAGAACATTTAATCTGGCCCCTGACCTGTGTGGTCATCCAATAAAAAATAGATTTTCCCATCAGAACAATTCAAGCTTGAAGTACCACCTTCATATTTTGCTTGTTTCACATTTAAAAGAATATTAATGGTAAAAGTATACAACTGAGATTTTCTGAAAAAAAAATCTAATAACATTACAGATTATAAACATGCCATTGTTTTATAAACATTATATTTAAAAAAAGACTACTTACTTCTAATCAATTAAGATGGACACAGAATTTAAAATCCCACTCTCTGAACATATGGTCCAGCGTCTTCTAGTAAAATCTCAGATGCCCATTCCACCATGCATCTACAGAGAGCTGAGGAACAGAGAAAATTATTAATTAATGTGAAGCAGGTTAAAGTCGTCAGACAGAGCACAGGGGACTGACCCAATTAAGAGTGCTTCCTGTAATGTACATCCATATGGTGAGGAACGTCACATTAGGTGCCCATTTCATTTAGAAGCTACAGTAAATCTATTAAAGGCATTGAAAAGTAAAAAGCTATTTCTACACCATTTAAGTCTTTACTGCAACACAGTAAGCCTTCGAGTTCTAGGGTATGACTTTATCAATCAATGTTTGTTTTATCAGAAACATATACGGTATAGTTTATCAATATTTCATCTATATATAGCAAAATTTGTTCTTTGTTCTTCTCAATGACTTTGCATCCTTGACATGAAAAATAAGAAAACCTGCAGTATCTAGGTGCTGAAACCCGTCAGATGGCACTGTGGTGCAAAATGATATTAAAAAATGATTATTAATTTAATAAATATCCTTTACAAATGAGAACAGCAGTGTTTTCTATTTCAAATTCAAAATCCTATTTACAATACTGTTAGTTAAACAACTATTAATTAAACATGTTGTTATTTGCTCAACTTGTGGCCAGTCCATTGGCCTCTGCATAAAACTTGATTAAATGATTGATATTCATCACCGTGCAGTGTGGATGTTTTAAACCATTTTTTTCTTGAAAAGTGACTAATGTCACTATCAAACATAGTTACAAACCAAGACATGTCTAGATCAGAGTGTCATTAGGTTCAATTGTAGGCTATCTGTGCAGTGTAGAGGGAATTTGGATCAAATAAAGTCCAAATAAACATAACTACACATTATTTCAAACCACTTTAAAAGCAAGCAAAATTAGATCTTGTGACCAGTTGTTATGCTTACCCTCTTAAACCCTGTCCTTAACACCACTGATGCATTAAGTGCTTTAAATACGATTCTGTACTTCTGAAAAATAGATACGGCTGTTAACGCTGGTTTCGGTGTTATCATATAAGAAAGTGTAGCAGTATACAAGACTGGATCCACTGCATAATGAAAACTTCTACATCGACAGCCAATTATAAGAGTAGCGAAAGGAGTTTTAACATAATGGTAACATTACATTTAGTCATTTAGCAGACGCTTTTATCCAAAGCAACTTACAAATGAGGACAATAGAAGCAATCAAAATCAACAAAAGAGCAATAATTTGCAAGTGTTATGACAAGTCTTGGTTAGCCTAATGCAGTACTTGAAGACTTGAAGAATAGAGAATGGTGTTAGAGGCCTTTTTTTTCAAGAAAACAAGCAGTGAACGAATAGAGTGCAATTGTTAGAGGGTCAAGCGTTTTTTTTTATTAAAAAAAGAAAACAAATAGATAAAATAGAGGTTGAATAGAGAGAGCTATAGTTAGTGGGTCAAATAAAGAGATATGTTTTTAGGCGTTTCTTGAAGATGGCTAAGGACTCAGCTGCTTGGATTAATAGACAATACATTAATAGACAACATTTTGTTATTCAATATACTAACTGTCCATCTCAAAATCCTAAAGAAAAAAAAGTAGTTTATGTTGAAAAACTGATTGTATAGCATGCCCATAATACAAATCAGAAAGTAATTCTGTCTCCATAACAAAGAGACTACATCAAAACTCTTTCATTTTGCCATATAAATACATACTCTAGCTTAAAATACCAAAAACAAAACGTGCATAGCTCTGCACTGTGAAGGTTGCCAGACAGGAATAGTATAAATAGCCTACTGCAATAAAAAAGACAGTAAAACCACTAAAACATTATAATATCGTAAATATCGAGAAAAGCACTTTAGGCATGTACATAGATCAGGCAAAATGCACTAATTTTAGTAAAGAATTGAAATAAAATGCAGGTAGCTTATGCTTAAAACGTCTCAACGTGCCCTCAACAAACCATGTTGTACTGTAAGCTTGGCTTGCAAAATTGTTTCAAACCATTCCCATTGCTTTTACTTACTCATTTAGTCTCTGTGTGTTTTATTACAACCGTAAAATGTTCGCCAGAGAACGACAAACTGTCCAAAGCCAGTCTATATGTGTATTATGTTAGACGGCAGAGAACACGTCGAGTTTGGAAGACAGTTGATTTTATTCAAAGCTAACTTTTCAATGCTAGCCAGTTGTTCTCTTTAGTCTAAAGCTAAAACAGAATAACACTGTAAATGGTAAGTATTTAATTACCGTAGACGTTGTTTCCAGGGTTTTATTAATCGGACCAAACAGAGAGAAGGTGACTGAGTACACGCTCTTCCTTCAAAAAGAAAATTGTCCTAACACTTTTGCTCTCTTTGAACAAGAAAACTGCAATAATGCTTGACTTTAAATGTAGAAATGCAGCTAGCGTTTCATAAGAAAGAGAAATCATTATCCATTTTACCTTTTCTCGCAGACAGGCTGTTGCTTGCTACCTTGATGTTGTGCGCCGCTCGCGTGCTACAGTTTGTGACAATCGCAAAACCAACACAAGCCGCAAGCACTTACCGTACGTAAGGAATAGAAGAGAATTCGCGCGCTGCGGCGGGAACCTACCGTAAGGAATGTAGCTGACTAAACATTCTCGTCGGCCTCACTGTAAAATTACAGGTTTGTGTCTCCGAAAGGGTTTTCGTCCTCATATGAAGCTGAAGGTGCCATATGGACTGTTTTTGCCAATAAAGCAGTCAATATGTGTCAGAGTATGCTTTTGAGATTGATGACACCATGTTCGTGAAAGTAAAAAAAAATTTAAAAATTTAAAAAAAAATATATATATATATATATGTTGTTTCTGTGTGATATTCATAGACAGACACGTTTAGACACTGCATTGCACACTCTTTTCAAGTGGGATCATAAGCAAAAAGTAGGCGCCGGATTGTCATAGCAAAGTCAGAATTACCTCCTCTCCTAGGTTCACGAAACGGTTGTCTATAAAATGCATTGCTGTTCTGTTGTAAGTGATCTTAAAGATTCCTAAATGCATCTACATTCGGAACACCAAATAAAGTGCTTTTGCTTTCACCTAGAAACACACAGCTTCTCCCTGACATGGCTGCTTCAACACTAACTGCGGTTACTGAAACCACGCCTTCTTTCTTTGCGTGAACATTTGGGCGCATTATGCAAATATTTCCACATAGTGAGGTAGATATGTGGGGGCGTGTTAGAACGAGCCGTTTTAGGGGGGCGTGGCAGAGACTTAACTTTGATAAAGAATATCTCTTTGGTTTTGAGACTTTAGTCTTTGCAACTTCAGGGATCTTATCTATGCACAATCAGCTTGTAACACTCCAAAGAGAAAGGCAAACTTGAAATCGCATCATATGACCCCTTTAAGGCTCACAGCAATTATATTTGCTGTAGTTTGAATAGAGAAAACATTTAGTATTTAGTGCAATATTTCTTCTGTGAAAAATAACCAATGTTAAAATGTTGTATAGTAGCCTATGTCCTTGCTGGGGAAGAAAAAGAAAGAAAGAAAGAAATAATAATAAAGGGATATAGTTCACTCAAAAATTTAAATTATTTTATCATATTCCAAACAGAACACTGAGAATGACATGAGTAAATGGGGTGAGTAAACGATGACAGAATTTAAAATTTTGTGTGTATTATCCTTGCTGGTTTTTAGAACATGAGTTTCTGGTCCAAGGTATTCTGCCAGTATACATGATTCATGTTAGCCCATGTTTTGTTAAACCCAAGAGCTAATACAAAAATATGATGATATTGGAATTTTAACTTGTGTAATTGGACACTGGACTCAAAATGTCAGAGTTAATGAGATATAGCCCATTTGACCTGACAGAATGTTCTTCATTATTAAAGACAAGAAGGCAGCCAATTTAGTGTGAACTGGTGAACGTGCTGTCTTCAGCATAAATCAGAAGCCGCTGTTGGGTATCTGTAATTTGTTGTGAGCATCTATTTTATTGTGAAGGTATAAACTGAATCACTCAATCAATTCATATAATACGACCAAAGGTGCTTTAATCTCTCTCATGAAATCAAATCTAAGATTTTTGCCTGAGGGCCTCAGTAGAAGCCATTCATCAATGCAGACTGTAGTGAGCTAAATTAATTTGCAGATTGATCAGCACTTGGAAATTTCTCATTGCCGAATCTATTTTCTGCCCCTTGAATCTCAAGACAGACATTTATTTATATTTACAAATGCATTTATTAAGTAATAAAAAAGGAAACAAAATCCCTCAGGTTAAAGACATTTTCATTTTTGATTGAATTAATACAAAGTTAATATAGATGCAGAATAGGTTGAGTATGTGCTTTAACTGGTATGGTTGTTTGTGCTTAAACTTTTTATATATAGTACAATTTCAGTTTCAAAACAGTACAAAATTAGTTTCTGAAGTGAAGATGTGGTCCAGAACATATAGAATGCACAGTTTGAGCACCCAGAAATGAAGATGTGCTGAAAATGTATTCACCATTAGGCTATCTGAAATGTAGATGAGTTTAATTCCTTATCAGAAACAGGTTTGGAGAAATTGAGCATTACTTGCTCACCAGTGGATCCTCTGCAGTGAATGGGTGCCAACAGAATGAGAGTTTAAACAGTTGATAAAAACACAATAATCCACAAGCAATCCACACAACTCCAGTCCATCCCTCATTCCATCAAATCCATCATTAAGGCATTTTTAACTACAAGTCCATAATTCATAATAACGCTTCCTTCAGGAAAAAAAAGTCCACCCTCTGTTGTCCTCTCACAACAAACATACATTTGTGAATTACTGGATTACTGTGATGCTTTTATCTGCTGTTTGGACTCTCATTCTGATGGCACCCATGAAGAAACAAACTCATCTACATCTTGGATTGGAAGGGTGTGTACATTTTTTGGATTAACTATTTCTTTAATTCCAACAAGGTGTCATTCCACAAAAGAGAAAAAAAGGATGGAGAAATTTCTAGGCCCAGACAGGCTGGATGACCTGATATAGCTGATGACAGGATATATTGGTTACATTATAAGCCAAAAACAGGACAAAAGCCTAAACATAGAGTCTTTTAAACTCATTCATATATGCATTAATTCTGTATGCAGATAGGACAACGAAGTAAAAACTGAAATAACCTGCTTTGATTTCACAGAAAGGTCAATAAAAAGATACGTCAAAAATCTCTCCCATGGTGTTGAACTAGAGATGATCATATTCTTACATATGGATTACTTGCATCCTCAGTCAATTCCTGTCATATATGTAATATATTTGTTTGTCCAGCAGCCCAGTGCAAGTCCTTATCATATTGCTGAATGCTTGTTCCTCCATCTATTCCTCAAATCGTGTGGAAATCTTATCTCCAAAGTAAACCTCACTAAGCCCTTGCTCTCAACAGTAAAACACGGTATTTCTTGTACACAAGACCACAACAGCTATTTAATATTGTGGCTAGGTATGTCTTGTCATGCAGTCCACAGCTTGAATCACATCTTCTCCAATACTGCTCCTCTGAAGGGGCTCTGAAAGGCCCTTCACATGAACTCAAACAGAAATGCTTTGGACATGCTCCTGATTACCTCTGCCCCTCATCAAATGCGGGCTGTAACCACTATGAAATCAGTCTTTGTGCATTAGAACGTGCCTGGCCTACTTGCTCTCAAGAAAACAGGAATTATTTTAATGATAACTCCCGAATGATGAGTGATATGATATGCCTGAACTGGGTTAATGGTTAATCTATTACAGAAAATAGAAAATACTATGAAAAGTAATATGACTGTTTGCATTGCATATGACCTCAGTTAAATTCTAGCCATGTAATAGAATGGATTCCCAAAGAGGAAATTACTGAGCCACTCCCCTGTTATTCTATGCTTCCCATGACACTTCTAATGGATCATGATGATGACTTAAGATGTAAAAGTGAACAGCAGAAAAGAAACATCCTGCCACAGAAGAGGAAAGAAAACCACAGTTTATAACAGCAGTTAGTTAAAGTGCAAAGCATGAATAGATAAGAAAGAGAGCAAAGAAGAAATGTCCAGAAGGAACAAACAAATACTTTTAAATGGACTCATGAATCATACAGATGTGAATAATGACACTTTAGAGAGGATATTTATCAGGCTCTGAGCTTTGGTTCCTCTATTTCATATCAATTTTTTCCCCATTAAAAAAATAAATAAATATAATAATTAAGAAAATATTTGTTTTTTAGTTTTTCAGTGCTGTAAAATGTACAAAAAACATGATAAGAATATGTTATGATATCTATCACTCATTTTTTAGATTCTTGTAGATTAAAAAAATATGTACCTTAAACTGATCTTTTCAACCCACTAGTCTAATGTAAAACATACACCTGAAGAAAAAAAATATTGAATTAAAATATATTTGTACAGCATTTGAAAACTCCTGCTCTTGAGACGTTTGAGGGAAACTTCTGTGAAAAATTCTAACTGCAACATGACACTGTGAAACAGGATTATTGCAATCCAAGCAAAACAGAGTGACTTTAAATCCAGCAGTTTTATAAAGGCTAAAGTATAACCCATCTTATTACATTAACATTTTCACATTTTAAGAATTTATAGATCGAGCAATATTAAAAGTATTGATCAAAGGTGGGGTATACGACAGCGTGTTCCAGTTCCTGCCAATATCCAGCAATTTCGCACACCCACTGAAGAGAAGTGGACCAACATTCCACAGGCCACAATCAACAACCTGATCAACTCTATGCGAAGGAGATGTGTTGCACTGCGTGAGGCAAATGGTGGCACCAGATACTGACTGGTTTTCGGACCCCCCAATACAGTAAAACTGCACATTTTAGAGTGGCCTTTTATTGTGGCCAGCCTAAGGCACACCTGTGCAATAATCATGCTGTCTAATCAGTATCTTGATATGCCACACCTGTGAAGTGGATGGATTATTATAGGAGACGTGCTCACTAACACAGATGTAGACAGATTTGTGAACAATATTTGAGAGAAATAGGCCTTTTGTGTACATAGAAAAAGTCTTAGATGTTTATCATTTTGTTCAGTGTATATTGTGACTTTCCTGTACTTGTGGACAATTTAATGGGTTCAGTTTAATGTATTTAAGTGCAGTGGTCATAAGAAACCAAAGGCGTCACCATGGCAACAGAAACTCTTGCTGTGCAGTTGTGAGGAGATGGGATGGCAGAGGATCTGGAACTACCATCATTTGAAACCACAACTAAATGACAACAAGCCCATAAATGCAGAATTGAATGTGATTTTTTCATTTACTGTCATTATAAACCTCATCAAAACACTACATTTCCTGCTAGTCATATTGTCCATCTCTAGTGAAGTTCTCAGAACAGCCCATAAATAGATCACTACCTTATTTTGCGCTGTTGATTTTGGCATCAAATATAATAGTATTTTACAATGCATGACCAACACATATTAAACACATGATCAAGCCAAAGAAGTCATCTCTTAGCTTTGCTCACTGTAACTAATGTACTTCACAAAAGACATTATCAATTTGAATGAACAGATCTTATTTAACC